AATCACCTTGATAGTATGTAACTTTATATGATACTCCTCCACTCCTAGTCACCAGCTTTTTCCTTTTCTGACCTCCTCCCCAATCAGCTGCTGAAACAAGGTTATGCTCTATGTGGTATTTTAGTTCTGCAGGTGTTTTAAGGGTCAATGGAAAAAAAGCCTCCCACGCTGGTAATGGGGATTTCCTCTGTAGCATTCATGGGCAGGGCACTGGTAAATGCTCAGTCTGACAGACACAAGTAACTCTCCTCCTTGGCATTGTTAGAACTTCCTTACACCCTCAGTCAGTTAGCTGAACTTAGTGTGGACTTAATAGTGTAGCACATTTAGTGCATTCCAGCTTACACAGCAGCAGTTCATATCAATCAAGTGTTGTATTTGCCTCATTTTTTGCTCTTTTGCATGCCTTTTGTGTTACAGCACAGCAACTTCCTGATTTCTTACTGTGGTACTTACTGCAGCCTACCTCTTCAAATTCGACAAAGGAATTAGGACTGAGATTATGTTTTCTTGTTCCACATTAAAAGTCTCTGCCTCCAGAATTAAGTAAAAATCTGTGAAACATTAGTGTTTTAAAACTTGCTAGTAGTAATTCATCAGCTTTCAACACTCAGTAGATGGCAGTGCTTACACAATACATGCACATTCTAACAAAGTGGTTTTTACTTAGCAGCAGTTTAGAAGCATCAGCTAATTAAATGCCATAAGGTAGATTATAATACTAGTTTTTGAAAGATGGAGACTGAGGAGGCTGAATTGACTTGTCCAAGGCAACAGTTGTCTGTCAGAGAGAGGATCAAAATCCATTTCTGGAAGCCGTTGATTGAAATGGGAACTTAACACATATAGTTTCTAAGAAGAACAAGTCCGAAGTGTTTCAAGTCCTGCACTTCTTCACAAAGCTATTCCTTGAAACTACCCATTATTCCTGGTTTTTCAAGCACATTGGGCAAAATGCTACTATCACATCAGTATATCTGTAGTGACTTCAGTCATATGTCTTCAGTGGAGTCTGCTTCCAACTGACTGTGTGCATGCATCCCTTATCATTTCAAGTTACCACAGAAACCTCACAGGCCACAATTAGCTAAGGACAGGGCCCTCTGCTTCCTTGCACCTTGCGTAGTCATTTTCATGGGCTGCCTAATAGCTTTCCCACACTGAATCTTTTCTTCAGAAACTGACAGTTTGTCTGCCATGTCTTCCTTTTTAGTGATTTTTTCAGTTTGAGTAATTCGGGGAGTGAGGGTGGGGGATGCTGGAATATCCTACTTTGATATTTTCCAAATGAGATTTTATTGCTAGTTTGAAATGCTTTCTTGTTTCTGAAAAATATTGCCCCTGACTAAAAAGAGGGATTGAAAAACTTGAAAGCAGAATAAGACTGCTTGAAATTATAGAAACAAAATGCTCCAGTTCTATATGATTCAGAATATTTCTGAGGAATGGCCATTTTGATGGTTATATCCTTTTAGAAACCCAAAATCTATTTGTAATACCCATTTCCTGTCCTGCTTTGATGGTTGAAGGAGAAGGGTATGAACTGCAACCTCAAATGCTGAATTAAAAAATCCTGTTGATCCCATTCTTTGCTTTGCAAACCATTGTTTGTCTTCACAGGTTCTCTCAGGTACGTTCTTTCCCATTGCAAGAGACTGAATGTATTGAGCTTTCTGACATAGGATTACATCTGACGTGTTTCTACCCGAGGTTATTCTCCTTGGCAAATAGGATCATGGCGTAAAAGAAAGGCCACAAATGTGTCACACATCAGTTTTCCTGGAAGGGAAGCTTGAGGTGGATGCCAGTTGCAAGTCTTATGTACTGTGACTGAGACCTGAGAGGCTTGTTTTATAATTGCAGTAACCAGAGGCGCTAGTTAATGACTTAATCTGGTGGTTTGGTTCTGTGAGATTTATAAAACAATGTTTCTGAGAAAGAGTAAAATGTTAGGAACTCTTTGCTTATAAGTGTAAGGTAAGAATCTACTGGATTGTTTTCACTAGACAGATTTTTTGCACAGAAAACTTGGACAGCTCAGTTGCTCAAGCTGAAGTGCTACATCCAAGATTTTCAAGAAATACACATTAGTTCGAGGAATCTGGATTTTGCTCTGATAAAAACAGCTTGCAATGGATTTATATGGCAAACCTGTGCATCCAATGCCCTGGAGACACCCAGAGTATCACTTCCAGCTCTTGCTTCAGAACAATATGGGTCTTCCACAGGTCCTGTGCTACAGGGATTTATCTCAGATATCTTAAGGTAGCTCTCAAATAGCTCTAAATACCAGTATGGGTGTCCAGCTGAAGTCCACACTGTTTTTTCCTGAACAGTACCAGGAAATAAAAATCTTCAAAGACATCCTGAGGTAGACCTATGAAACAGAGGAACCCAAAGCAGAGACACTCAGAATCACTACATTCCACCTGAAAAATCTTACAGCTTGCACAGATTCAACTGTCACCATGGTATGTTTCTTTTGTTGAGACTAAGAGCTGCTACCATGATAACAAGGAAGTGGATGAACAAGAGAGATGTCATGGTTACAGAAAGAAAGCTTGATGACGACAGCAAAACCGCAGAGGAGTTTTGTATGTTGCCCAGTGGTAGCCTGGCACTTAGTTTTTTTCTTTGGCAGCAACAGTCTGGTTTAGCAGTTCATTAGAGAAAACACGCAGAGGTAGACAGCACGATCCAAAATCAAAATACCAAAGGGGTATTTTTTTAACCTCAATTTCATCTGCTTTATCACATACATAACCACAGCACATTTTTGCATCTTCTTTGCAGTCTCCCAGGAGAGCAGCTGCTTTACTGTGATGTAAGGTTTCTTACTATCCTGGTGTTTTTAGCTTCTCTCTGCCCATCTCTCTTCTATTTCAGAACTACATCCTTGCTACTTGTTACGAAATTACCAACTTCTGTCAACCCATTCTAACAGTCTGGAAGAAACCTTCAGCTTAGGTCACCTCTCAGGCTTGATTTTTTAATAACAGTTGACCATTTGTGGTGGTTTTTCTTCTGGTTTCACAAGCTTTGAAGATCAGAAGATTTTTTTATCAATCAGATGCCTCACAGTGCATAATGTATTTTAGTATCTACATAGTTGTATAGTTATTACGTGAGTGGAATCTCTGCATATGCAGATGAAGTTTTCTACACAGAGTTGCTTCATCTGCACATACCTTGACAATTTTCTACTTCAACATGAAAAAGCAAATTTGTCTGAAAGCCATTTTTTCCAGTTATGAAAATATGTTCTATGTCTGTATTATATATTCAGGCATACTTGTTTCCCCTGCATGGCTACTATCAAGACAGACAGCAGACTTGTTACTCGTTCAGCCAGCTACTAGACTATTCCCTATAGGTAACAGCTTCCCAAGTCCTAAAAAGTTGATGCACTGATTCTACAAAGCCATCTTCTCTGGATGGTCATGTGTCTTATAGCCCAGGGAATAAAGCACTGTGTGAATGTCTGGGTTAGTGCAAGGCTATTCCAAAATGAGGCAAAGAACTAGATGGTCTTTCTGCTAACTGTGGGTACAAAGACTGCAATATATACCTCAAATGTTCCTGTGGCAAGTATAGCTCACTCATAGTCCTTTGTTATAACTGTTGTAGGTAGCTACAGCATTTTGTCACTACTTCTGCTATTCTGGTTAGGAATTTCAGAGGCAAATTTCCTACTACACAAGTCAGCGAATTTTCTGATGAAGCACATCTCATTTACATCTGACTTTGCATCCTGTGCTGAACTTACTTGCAGAGAAGTAACTGATCAACTGTACTGAAACTAATAGTTCTGTACACTTCATAAGTAAAGGAACTGTTTATTTTTACCCAGAGTACAGGGGAACCAAAACATATCTTGGAGATTATTTTAAAGGAGCACGTTTATCATTCATGCAGTCTGAAGACCCACAAAAGACTAGTGCAGGTTTACAATCTAAAGTATTTAGTTGTTTCAGTGGATAAAACAGCTTGTCACAAGCTATGTGTATGGCCAGTCTGGATATATGTATAATTCAACAGTGTCCTATTTTGTGCTGTCAATACAGAATGGGACTGGTGATACCTTTCAAATAAGTTTGCACTGCAAATAAGCTGTTGTATTGGAGATTTAAATTGTTTTATTTTTAATCTTTGTGTATTATCCCATTGAACTAATATTAGTACCCTCATTTGTTTTTCTTTAATTTTGTCTGTCTCTCCTTCATCTTAATTTTCCGTCAATTGCTATAAAAATTTTCTGTTGTGCTCTCTCAGATAAGTAGAGGTCTTTCCTCTGTCTCTCTAAGGAAATTCCTTTTTTAGTTTCACATTAAAACTTAGCATCAGAATTAACAAAAGGCATTAGTTTTTGAAGATGTGACACAGTCTCTCAGTTCACTGGAGTACTCAAGCTGGAATTTCACTTGATATTTCTTAAGCATTAATAATACGTATACAGGTAAATACATTCTTAATAAATTCTAGAGGAAATTTAGACAACTTTAGAATCATTTAGGAAATAATTTGTGGCTTATGCCATGGGGAATCACACTTGTTGGCCCTGCTACCTGAATTCTGTGTTTGAAGCTGGAACCTAAATACAAGCTAAATCTGTATCGCAATTTAAAATAAGATTTTCCTTGAAACCCCCTGGACCTAGTTTGAGATTAAATGTGGCTTGTCATCAGGAATATCATACAAATATTCAACATAAACGACTAAAAAAAAAAAGTCACTAAAGAACTTACTTTTGTCAAATCTAACCAAAGATTTGGGGTCAGATCATCAGCTAGATCATCAAAAAGTTGTTATACTGACCTTAAAGAAGCTAAGCCAGTTCATAAATTCAAGGACTACTCATTATATTATGAAGAGTTTTTACCTTGCTTATCTTTGATGAACACTAGCTATTTTAGATCTGGTCTGAAATTGTATTTCAAGCCTACAGTCATTTAATGTACTTTTTGTCCCCCCCCACCCCTCTTTGCCTTCTTTTCCTTTAGCTCTCCAAATATCCCTGGATACACTGGCAAGGTTCATTGGTTAGCAACCCACCCGGCAAATTCTAATTTTCATCAACAAACCCATCAGTAATTGCACAAACGCATGGGTAAGTATGAGGTATATTTCTCAGCTTGTTCAGAAACATTACAGGGAAGAGCCTAATTGCATTTATTTAGTTAAAGAACGAAGAACATGTTCAACAATTAGGAGCAATAACAACAATAACAATTAGCATGACATTCCATTGGCTTAAAAAATACGGAACAGTTGGGGTTGGATCCCACCATACTATTATCATGCTAATCTGAAATGCTTTTGATGTTTTAGAGTTTTTCTGGAACGTTGTAAGGTAAGGATTGGGAAGGTAACTTAACACTGAGGTAAATCATTATTTCTAAATGTGGATATTTCTACACTGAGAATTATATTTTTTTCCAGCTACGCTCTCTAAGTACTGGCTTACATGACCTTTTTTTTTTTTTAATTGATTGATCTGTGTGAGTTTGGAAAGAGTTCCGTGAATGTCAAAGTTAAAAATTCCCAGAAGAAGAACGTGTGATGTTGTGTTTCCAAAGTGGTATTGGCAGACTTAAGAAATGGGTATTTGCTCTACAAAAATAGTTGTTTAAAATGGGTGGGGTTGCTTAAAAGGCAATGAGAGACAAAATCATGCCAAGCATGATGCAGCCCAGGACCCTGGGACTCTGAAATCATCATATCCCCACAACATTGTTGTGGCTACCATATGAAGCGTGTTAATAATCTTTAGTTACTCTTGCTCTTCTATACAGGGCTTGTTAAGACTACGGACCACTTTAAGTCTTTAGGTGTCTAATTCTTGTTGGTTTCAAAAGAGGTGAACACCTCACAACTGCTGAAAAGCTGTTTTCCTTTTTTAGTACAAAGAGCTTCTGACAGTGGCAAAGAACCAATCTAACCTTTCCGCCAGTAGCTTCAGAATAGCTTAAAAACAATTTATTTCCCCTCTCTCCTTTATGATTTTCTGCTTTATACCCTGATTTCTTTATATTCATAATGATCTAGGGCAAAGCTGAATTCAGAACAGCCTGATGCAATACCAACTTGTAAATGTCAAAGATAAATAAAAAGGGAAATACATCTTAGCAAAGATCATCAACAGACTTCCAGATTTCAAGAGCATTGTGATCTAAGAAAGGAAAACACATCTGTTACTTCCTTTTACTTTCTACAGGTGTTACAGTTGGTGTAGTTCATAGTGAATTAAGTTTCTTAGTTTTTAATGGATAGCAAGAACAAGGTTCTTACTCTGTGCTAATAGAGACTTTCCAGACCAGGATGGAATCCCCTGACTTTTTTGAAGAATGGTGTGCAGTAAACCAATACCCAGACCTTGTAGATCATGTCTTACCACCCTTTTTCTGTGCTGAGTGGTATGCTCCCCTGCAGGCAAAATTACAACAGTCCTGTATTACTTTATCTAGGGCTACTTCTGTAACCCCAGAGTTTACTGACTTAAGATGGAATATCATAGTCCTCTATGAAACTGCTATGTAAAACTATAAGGAATGCTGGGAATCTCTTCCCAACATTAGTTAGTGATGCCCACAAAAGAGAGATGTTTAACATTCGATTCCTTTCCTTTGTAAAATAAATTATAAAAGTCCTGCTTATTTCAGTGGTCACAGGTCATGCTAGACTGTAGTGGAGAGGTGAAGAGAGGAGAGGTTCATTTTGGTATTTGGGGTCAGACTACCCCAATTCACCTCCACATGCTTTTCATGTTGGATGTGATCTTATTCTTGCTGTTTTCAAAGTGGTGACCTCTTTTTTTCTTTCTTTGATCATTCTCAAGCCATGACTGTAATAATGTCTCAGAAAGTAGGAAGTGATTGCCTGTGGTGAATGTTTTTGTATCTGCTTTATTTGACATGTCTACAATATAAGGTCAGTCTCCTGAAGACAATTATGGGTATCAGAAGGAGTCTCTTGTATACTGTTAACATGGTCTAATAAATGTTCCTGTCAAAAGTATCAGCAGTATCCGATAGACCAGGCAGCAGGCAACCACTTCTGCACTGTATTTTTATCACAGAGAGCTTCCATGGTATGAGGGGCAAAAGCCTTCATACCTCTTCTAAGCATTCTAAATACAGCAGGATTGTATAGGGTATAGAACAAAAGAAATACAGTTTCTTCATCTTCAAATAGAAATACTATTTTTATATATCAGGTTTTATTGATGTGTTTTTATTGTATTTTGATTTTCAGGTGATCCCAAGGTGAAAAACAAAGTCCTTTAGTGCAATTAAACTCTGGCAGCATTGTTCAGCTTTTGCATAGGAAGAAAGGTTTTATATGTTGGTTTGTGTTTTGGTTTGTGTTTAAATTAATTGTCCCTTGCTACCCAGAAAACAGAAATCCATTTCCACTATGAGTTGTATGGAAATGTGTTTGCCTTGCCATTATAGTTCATAAGATAGTGCTTAATTTAGTTTGATTTTAGAGAGACAGATTGCACCTTTTCAGCAAGTTGCTTTGAAGATTTCAAAAGGGATATTTAGGTCAGAAGAAAATATTTTATGTTTGGAGAACGAATGAACATAAGATTCTATGGTCAGTTATGTGTCAGCCCTGCTTTTGATTAAGTGTTTTGCAGCAGAGGGGCTTCACAAACTTAGGTTGTAGGTGTAAGATTATGTGTAGTGCTTCTATCTGTAAAAGGTTAGAAGAATATCAGAAATTTAGCATAAATTGTTCCCCTCCACAGAGTCCTCAGCATATTTTCTGATCCCCATCTGAGTATACTTTTCCACAAGGACTAGTCATCTCAAGCAGGCATGTCATGGTGGCAGCATGTGTTTTTCTAGACTCGAAAGCCAAACCTCCAGCATCAGCAGAGTTAGCTCTCCATGCACCACAGGGCTTGACGTGCTTGAATGCATTCAGCATGCTCACAGCAGTTCTCCACAATGTGTGGGTTAGTTTTGCAACTAGTTAGCTGAAGCAACTGTGTGTGTCCAAGAAAGGCTGAAAAGAGGCAAGAGTCAGAACATACCCTTCTTACAGCTGCTGTAGGGGTTTGTCTTTCAACACATTACATATATCCAGAAAGTAAGATTTAATACTCACAGGAAGATTTGTCACCACTGCTCTAATGGTCTTATAAAATTTAATACTATGGAATATTGCAGATTATTAATACTCTCTGAGGCCAATGGCTATAACTTTATTAACAATGCAGTGAGAGGGAAGAAGTGCAAACACATTTTAAAAGTCTTCCTTTCTCTGTCTTTTTGTGACTACAGATACATAGCAAAAGATGGGAGCTTGTCGCAGTATAATCGCCAGAGACATTTTTCTGAAATGGTGACTCTAAATAGTATTCAGAATTCTTTCAACAAGAGAGAACAAGAAACTATTACAGTTTAGAAAGTGTCAATCCTTTTTTACCTGTGTAATTGAGAGCTTCAGTGTCTGACAGTGAGGAGGAAGGAAATGTGTGAAGATGTGTGGATGTTTTAAATACGGAACAAAAATAAAATAACATAGAAGTGGGTGTTTGTGGTACTCCTTATTACATTATGTTCATATTTATGACTTACTAGAGTTGACAGTTAAAACCATATTAAAAACAAGAGGAGTCATAAGTCAAAGACTTGAAACTGGTTCTCTATACTGGGTTGTATTAACTAAGATAGAAAATTATGCTGTAGCTGTTCCATCCATTGACATAAACATTTTGTGTGTGTGTATATATATACATAGATACATATGCAGACACACATATGTAAATGCATTATTAACTGAGAAATAATGGCAGAGCAGCAGCCCTTTCCAGCAGCTGTCCTAAGAGTGCCTGGCAAAGATGGTTAAATGTCACAGAGTGAGATTCTAGCCTTTGCCTGTGCTGGCTCTGTGTGTAGTAGTGAATAAAAGGACCAGGTTATGTTCTCTGGTTTGGAGGCTAATTAAGACTCTGCAGCTTGCACCCATGCTTCAATTCTCTATGCTTAAACTGAAAGCAGTTAAATAAGGGTGATAGAGGGCTAGTACTTAAACCTTTGTCTTGGCACTGTTTTATTTTATGACAGTGTGGACATCACAGGGAAGTTGCATCCCTGAGAAAGAGACAACCAAACACGAATCTCTATTTAAAGGAGTTCTACTGTACTCCAGGGGCCAAAGCAGTTCAAATAGTTTATTCCAATTTGTACAGCGTAGCAGCTTGCTCAGAAGTTTTTGTCCTAAGGTCTCTGTTGAGTTGTATTATCCAAATTATCTATATTGCTGCTCTATTATTTCTCCTGCTTGCTTTTCTCCAGTAGGTTTTTTAGGTACATATGTGTGTAACATGCTTACAAGAAATAGCCTTCCCCTATGCAGGTAAAGGCTTTCTGTGCTTTAAAATGCACCAATGGTGAAAGGTTTTTTAAGAGCAAACTGAAGATTCATTAGAAACATGCGAAGGTAGGGAACAGAAACCACAGAGCCAGAAGACAGCAAATCCTCAGAAAGAAATAACATCCCTCAACAAAGGGATTAGATGCTCAGCAACAATGATCTGAATTGAACATCCAAATCCCTGTTGCTGATGTGCAAATCTCAGGCATACAGGGTATACAAGCTCCTTAGGAATGTGAGATGACAGCTAAGCAAGACAACCACTGGCACTAAGGGATACCATTTCTCCTGATTGTAGAATATTGTTTATCTTGAAGTGGAGCAGAAATATTCCAGTTCTTGAAATGTCTGAACTAACAGACTTTTAGCTGTCTGTATTTGCACCATGAAAAAAACAATGATAATCTGATTTTAAGAGATTGTCTCATCCAATCAGTTTCTCTGTGTATATTAAATTAGAATTTACATGTACATGTGTAAAATTAATGCCTACATGCAGGTATAGAAGGGATGCAACCTGCCATTGCCTTTTGTATTTGTCTATTTTGGAACTACACATGTATACAAGTCAATGAATATTTTAGATCAAAACAGTCTCTTTTGCAAATATGGTTTATTATGTCCCATTGAATTATTATGTACTACATTGCAATAGATTGCCCAGGGCGGTGGTGGAGTCACCATCTCTGGAGGCATTTGAATGGCATGTGGACCTGGTGCTTAGGGACATGGTTTAGTGGTGAGCTGTTAGGTCTAAGGCTGGACTGGATGATCTTGGAGGTCTCTTCCAGCCACAGACTGGCATATTTGTTACTGGTTACAGAGGCTATGTTTTTATAAGCTAGAGAAGGATTCCAGTTAAATCTTTCAGAGCCCCGACTCTGCAGTGCAGAGAGAGTGATCTGCCTTTGGGTAAGAATGTAGGAACTGTCTTTGTGCTGTGCAATGCAGTTTCATAGGCTGTATCTGTAAGAAACTTAAATTCCATTCAAACTACCAGATGAAAACATATTAAATTTTAAACCAGCAGGTGGGCTGAGAACATTGACTGCAAAGACAGATGCCATCGCTTGAGTAAGTTTAGATTGGATGCTTTTAAAAACATTTTGTGCATTGCATAATTAAAGCATAATCATCTAAGAAGATGGGAGCTATCTTTAAAACGGGGCAAGTTCTTAGCAGGATAACTCAGCATTGTTTGCTTTGATTTTACAGACTGGTTAAAAGCCAGAATCTCTTAATCTAATGAGTGAAAGCTGTGTATTAGAAATCCTCTAGATAAATCAAAATGGAAAAAAAAAAAAAATATATTTACACTTCTTTATACTGCTAGATCAAGCTGAGGAAATTTGTAAAAAACCCCAATAAACCCACAAACAAACAAACAGTGGGGAAGAAAGTATTTTTTTAAGTCAGTTTCTACTTACTTTCAGTTTCTCTGAAAACTTGAACAAAGAGCAGCAAGCTCATGGGCTTAACAAGCAAATGAAAGGGAAGTGCTTGTATCCAAACTAGAAAGACCCTCATTTAACTTAAAATAAACTAAAACAACAAAAAGCATGTTTTCAAACTTTTTCACCTTAAGAAGCTCTTATGATTTTGACTAATTATATTTTGATCCTGAAATCATAAGATAGTATTCCTTGAAACCTCACAGAGGGAATATTTCATGTATTGAAAGAGAAAAACTTACCAAAAATAGTTACGTGATACATTCAATACAAGGCCTATTCATATTTCTGCTGGCTGCAATTGCATTGCTCTTGGTAGTAAAGACAGAAAAGGACTCTTGCCATCATGTCCATCTTATAAATATCACCACTTGATACCTTTCTAGATTCACGTTATTCACAATACTTATTATTGCTATTTTAAAATATTCTGACTCTTCGAAACTCTCCTAAAGAGAAACAACGAAATCTCCTAGAATATCATGTCACTTCATACTGAGCCACATGGTATAAAGTATATGGTATAAAGTACATGAAAGAAGGTTGCTGTTAAAGAATCTCAGTTTTGCCTCCAGTTGGAAACCAGTGAACAAATACTTCAGTTCGTGGGACAACTTCTGCTTTCCTCTGTTAAACGCCTTGCTGAATCATAGATGTTCTTAATCTATACACAGTGTTCATAAAGCAGTCAAATTTCAAGTCACTAAAAATCTTTTTTGGATCTGTTCCTTTGAGTTATGGCATCAACACCGAGATTAACAGGAACAGAGTTGGCTTCCGGTGTGTAGTAAAACCACTGAAAAACAATGCTGCTGAGAGAGAAATGGTTTCCTGGGTAAAATGTAGTTGGTTTTCCTTCCACAGTCTAGCCTTCTAAAACAGTGCATTTACACTATGCAAGAAGTCACTACATTTGCAGCTTGTTTTGCACAATTACTCTTTATAACCAATGGGCTTTGGAAGTTAAGTGCTTTAAAGTTATTTTGTGTGAAGTAGTTGTTAGCATAGTGACCGTGCTTTAAGTATGGTCACTTGAGTGTAAATATATATGTCTTAAATTATACTATTTCTTTCTAAGTATCTCTAAATAGTATCTATATTTTTTTGGTATGCATAGCTACTAAACCCCTTCAAATGCATTTCAAATGCATTTTTGCATTACATCAAATGGATTGATCATAAAGAAACATTTTGATATGGAAAAATAGGCTACAACAGAATAATTATCACAACTCTAGCTAAAGTTCATATTTTTTTAGACTAGATTCTTTTCCCTATTGCTCCTTTCAGAAATAGGCATTTTTAAAAATTGGTTTCCTTTGGTTTGTTTGTTATTTTATTCCTAATGCTTCTCATCTGCCATCTACTAAAGGTCATAGAAATATTAATGTACTTCCAAAGCAAGAGGACCAAAAAGCTTTGCTTTCAACATAGCTTAGAGTATGGGGATGCAAATTGCAAAAACTCAGTGGCCTGTATCTTCTCACAGAATTATTTAGTAATGAATATACCAAGTGAAAGAGAAATGTCTGTTGGGTAAACAATACACATAAACAACTTCATGGTAGGAAAATAAAATAATATAAGAGGCTGTGGTGATCCTAGCCTGAAATCTTGAAAATGACTGGAGAAAATAAGGTGCTTATACAGGAAATAGAAAGCAAAAAGCATATCATATCTGGAAATTTTGTTTTGTTTCGCTGTAGGTAGAAGCTATTTTATTTAATAAAATGCAATTAAAAACAGAAAAACATCATAACCAAGTAGACAATTTGTGTTGCTTTCAGAAGTTATTTGAGAGATAAAATATTATTTCTTTGAAGAAATTTGTAGAGCAGAGGAGAAAACATAGTGGGGTATTCCCCTCCACTAACCTCCTGGTTTTGTGCCTCAGCAACTCTCAGCCACTGCCATCTTTTCTCTCCCACCAGATATGTGGAACTCGGTATCATTTCTCACACTTTTAAAACAGGGCTCTGATTTTTCCTGTGTACAGGAATACAAAGGAGCCCTGCAAAGTGTGTATTGAGCCATCGCAGAGGAGATTGCTCCTAAAATACAGCCCTGTCTTGTGCTAAGGCAAGACAACTGCTTAACATCTCATCCATGGTTTGTTTGAAATTAGAAAATATAATTGTTGGCTTTGTAGTAGGGAGTGAAGACACCCCTACACTTGCACATACTTTTGCCTGACATTTAAAGACAGTAACTCAAGGCTGTGTCTTTCATCTTCTCTGAAAAACAGGAGCTCTGAGATCAACCTGTCTCAGTAAAGGCTGAGAATGAAAATAGTCCCCCAAATTCCCTCATTTATTAAATTTTATTTTCACTGGGAGTTTCTTAGAGAACTAGGAATCAAGCCTAAGTATAGTTGCTCATGGGACCTGACAAAGCCATTGGTGCTGCTGTGTGCTCAATACTTTGTCTAGTTATGAGCATATGAAGTATGCTTATAACATAAATATACAAGCACACATGTAGGCTCTAAAAGTCAAAGGTCTTTAGGCACGTACATTCCCCTTACTTCTAGTTTCATTTGCCTGCATGTGGGCACATCACTAACTCAGCAGCTGAGTA